TGAAAGTTTTCGTTTTCAGTAGTCAGTTAAACTCGACAGTCGATTAAACAATTTTGTCATCCAAATCCGTTCGCGAATACTTCATCTTCAGTTGTAAGTGTTGTTGTTTCTCTACCCCTCTTTTTTTCCCCTTATAAACTACTTCAAAAGAAGGTCTCTTCTTTTCAGTTTAAACATCAGATATCGCATTTCCGAGAATTACGCCCATTATATTTCCATGGGTAATAGAAATACCTGTAACTTTGAACTATTTTTCTTTTCAGTTTGACGTGATGAAAGGTGTCAATGTGTTCCTGAAGAATTGAAAGTAACCTTGGAAAATGAAACGAGTGAGATTTTACACGCCATAGAGGCACCTGAAGGGATCAGGAATGGGTATTAATTTTACTTAAATCATATGGCGAACTTGATGTTGTCGGTTGTTTAATTATTTGTTTTTCTCTTTTCTTTCAACTTGGAGAGAAATGGAGAGTCTATTTTTTTATAGATCTGTTTTGTCAAATTACCTCAAAGAGCTCCATCTAATTTGGTGGAATCTTAAAAAGAACGGAACGAAAGGCAATTTTTTCTGCCCTAGCATGATTTATGAAATATTTCTCGTGGAAAACACGATCACCGCGAAAGCCACAGCCCAATTTCTATCGAAACGCACCACCTGATAAGCAATTCCAGGAACCTCCTTATAAGCAATACTTAGACATGGAATGGAATTAGACAGCTGTTACTTTTTGGCTACTGTCAACAGATCGGCCGAAGAGTCGTGTGAAAACATTTAAAAGAGATCCTGTGTGGTGGTAGGCTTAATTATATTCAGAACTTAGTTTTTTTCCAATCTCCATCTTGCGTGGCAGAGGCGAGGTGTGCGTGAATTTAAGTTACGTGCCCAGACAAGGGGACACATTCTCGAGTCACGTGTAACCTCTCCTAAGGGCGAGATTGGTTGTTGTTGTTTCGACGAGAAAGAAAAGATAATTTGTAATTGTTGTTGTTGTTGTTTTTTTTTTTTTTTAACAAAGAAGAGAGGAAACCTATTGTGATTGATCCATATTTAATTCGTAATGGTTCCAACTGCAGTTGTAAGGAATAGGAATCGCACGTTTGAGTGAACCCAGCTCCTTATCTCGTTCTATGTGAATTGGAACAACAAATTGCCGAATCAGCTGTAGTTTGAGCTATTCTTTATTGTTTATTTTATGAAAGATGCAATGCGAATTTGTACAGAGCTCACGCTAAAGACATTTCATGTCCAGATTAGTCAACTAGGTACTACAGACTGAAAAATTTATGCTTGGGAAATGGCCTTTTTTAATTATAGGTTAGTGAAGTACATGCACGGTAATTAAATAGAATGAGAGTATGACCTTAAAGAGAGAATTTCCTTTCAGAAACAAGGGAATTTCTTGTACTTATAGAAGTCCTAGGCGCCCTTAGTCAACAACGATTGCAAAGGCTCAGGGAAATGGCGTCAAGAAACAAACTTCCAGAACACTTTCTAAAAAAGTTATTCGAACAATCGAATGTAAAGGCGTCATTGATATTTTATGCATAGACGTCGTATATGTCTAAAATACCACAAACAAATCACAATGAAACTTTCGAGACAGGGGACATAAAAACATTATCTAAGTTGTGAGTACTGCAGAGGGATTTCCTCTGAAAGGTCATTCTCTATTGCTTACAAAGCCCCAATTGCATCATACTCTCTTTGAGCTAAAGGTCTCAAAGCATTTCGAGAATTTATTGTACATAAGGTGATGATAGAGAGCTTTCCTACCTTTAAGCAGTTATTTGTTCGAAATCAAGAAATTTTTGTTGAATCGTCTTCGCCTCTGTCAGGAGCCGGTTTTATAATTGATGTTATCCTCTGTTTTCTATTTTTTTTTTTCTAACGTCCATTTGTTTGTTTTCGGCTATCTTATTGTTTGCCAAGAACAAAGGAACGAACGTGGCTGAACTTTCCATTAACTTTAAATGAAACCTTCTACATTACCTTTTTTAATAGCTTTAGTGAGCTTCAAACTTTTTCAGCTTCCATGCATGCATTTACCGTCGGAGAAAAAACCCACATTCGCAAATTCGACTTCGTATGAGCAAAATTGTGTATTAGACTTATCCCTACATTTCGAAATGTTGAAATATGAGCAACTCTCCATTAACAGGCGTATTTTGCACTGAGAAAACTTATCAATCCTAAATGAGTCATTTAAATTCCAAGTGGTTTTACTGTATATTGCTTGACTTATGGAAACAAACCAGGAGTTAAAAAATACTTAAAATCTGTTCTTTGAAAAACGAGTTCGAATTCACCAAACCGATCTTACATTAACAGTACTAATGGTGCTAACAAAATTTTTCGCTGGCAAGAAACTAATGATTATTTATATCACTTCCAAAACAAACCCTCAAACTACTTCAAATTACATGACTGAATGTTTTTGAGGTTTGTCGCTCGGAGGTGTGAGAGACTCTTGCGATTCAATTTAAAGCTTTCAAAGCCCGGGGAAACCTTAAAAACACAAGACATCAATAAGGTACAATGAAATATGTTGTTTGTCGTCGTTCGTGATTTTTGGGACAGCTGAAATACATCTTATTTTGGAATCCAAGTTTTTTGAAAACAATTTGTTGTGACGGAATATTTTAATTAGAATTACACAAGTGTTTTTGGAGTGTGGAGTGATTTCAGTCTACTTGCAGCCGTTTTCGGTTTGTCACTCAATATGTTTGATCCACAAGACTGTGTGTGGGTGACAAGCCTGAAAGAAGTGCCATCAGATTAAGTGATTTCTCGTGCGCTCAAATTTTTAAAACTCCTTTCAAGAGGAAAGCAATACATAGTTTACAAGGGAAAAGAGAATCCACTCTGTTGTCAGCCTTAAATGAATTAGGAGAGACTGGCTACCACCGAAACTTTGAGAATGACTCTGTTCGCGTGACAACCAACGAATTGGGGCCGACTTTACGTCTGATGTATAGAACACTACTAGATGCTATCGCCTTGCCTTTACTTAAGGTTTTTAGAGCTTTTCAATGGAGTTTCTTAAGTCCAACACTAAAGTAATCAGAACGGTAAATCATAACAAAGGGAAGCCAGTATTACATGCTAAATATGAGAGGTCAAAGTAAGGAAACACATGCAAGCCGCCTGAAGCAGAGGTAAACCAACTCGCGGTTGGTTTCCATATTGGATCTAAATTGTTGAGAGGATGAAACTCGATTGAAAATCTCTATTTTAGCCGTTAAGTGATATGAAGTTTACCAGTGAAAATAAGTTTTTACAATCTTGGCTGCTATGCAGCTGTGTTTGTGTATTGGGACGTAAGTCTCGTTTCTGCCTGTCTGAGATTTATGTTCAGCAAGGTATAAGATTTAATGACTGTTCATGTGCCAAACTAAATTTTTCATGACCAAGTACCATAGGGTGACGTCGTGGAGAACAATCTTACGAAGTTACTCGATATAGCGTTTCCCTACGTCACCTTGTCTCTCGGTTTTCCATCGAAATCAAGAGATCCAAGGGAAAAGTATGCAACATACGAAATAGCACCAAGAGAATAAGTCAAAAGAGCAATACCTAAATTAAAAAAAAAAACTAACGATTTCCAAAGGCTAAGTTCAGAAAAGTGGCAGTGTGTTTTATACTTAATTTTACAAACATTTTGTTTTTTCCCCTCGACTATTTTGTTTTAACTGTGCAGCGAATGGTTCCTTTAGAGAGGAGCTTAATTTATGGGTGTACCAGCTTAGATAGTGCAGTTAGATAGCTCACTTGACTAGAGATAAGCTTTACTGGTGAAAATGTGACGATGCAATGTAGACGCACAGCTCTTAAGGCTGTGTTTTGAAATAAGAGATGAACAAATTCCATCAAAACAATATCTCAAGTTCATTCGATCAAGTAAAACTCTCTTGAGCACTTCGGTCGCCTTTTTAACATGCTATCATTGCGCAAAGAATAGTGGAATTGATTTGTAATTTGTTTGCTTTCCGTTTTTAGTTGTAATAGGTTTTTGCTTAGCTAAATCAAATTGAGGAAATAAAAAAGGGAAACGACAAATTGAGACAGAGGCGTGGCTGGTTTTCTTTGTGGCGTTGTGCAGTTAAATAACCGATTTTAAAATGGTAAACTCTTACACTACCCAGTGACCAGCTCTTACCTTTCCTCACTTTATAGCCTGCAAGTGATTTCTATTGCCACACCCCCTCCCCTCTTCTTCCTACCGTCTTGTCCCCTTGGTATAAATTTATATTTCTTTCCTCAGCCTTCCACTGCTGTAAAGATCAAAGATGACAGCTATAATCATTATATATTATCGGTCAGATTTCTTCTGTAATAAGTTATCACAGAAGAAATCTGACTGAGCACTCGCTCGACAAAATCACGCTTGCTCTGCACGCTATTTATACTCAAGGCATTTTTCCTACCGAGGCATTTTCCTGTCAGCAATGAGTATAGACAAAGTACTCAGCTGGAAAGATTTTTCTTCACCTCTAATCAAGTACCCATTACTAATTTACAAGAAACATGTAGAATCCAGGGAGAAACACAAATCAGATCTTGTGGATTAAGGGGTTGAAGTATGTAGCTGGTTGATGGGGCTTCTCCATCTATTTCAAAAACACCATACAAAAACTGTAGTGGCCGGAATAATTGTGACCAGAAAACCTTGCTACTCAGCCGGATGTTATTCTCTAACACTACCTACCAGTTACACTCGAATTTCCATCAACATCTTCTTTAGTATGGTGGGACACGTGGCAAATCGAAATAGTAGTATTTTAAGTCGAACAGGTCGTAATGTAATTGTAGGCTAACCTGCTCAATGAAATAACATTTAATACACCAATGGAAATACCTCAGATATGTGACATTTTGATACGTGTCACGTAAGGTTTGGTTCCCTCCCTCACCCCCTTCCTGTGTATCGATTAGCCGCTGAAGGTGCAAGTCACTGAAAGAGTCAAGTCACACAGACACATTGAAATCACAAAATACAACAATCCATAAAACTTTTTATTCGTATCCGGCCTGTCTTATCAGCAGCGGAAAAACACATCCAAACTGTCTTTTACCCTGACACCAATCCTTGTAAACGTAATGGATATCTTATTTTCGGGAAAGGAAATTTTTACCATCAAAAAGCTAAAAGAACAAAGCGACAAATTCTCGATACCCCGGTTGGTCACAAATGAGTATTCTGGCGATGGAGCTTCTTGTTGAATCTCCTCAAGATTTTTACAACTTTCAGCGGACAAAAAAGAATTTAAACTGCAGATGTGCGTATTCAACGGTATATCAATCTGTATCTTCTTTGCAACCTTCCAACCTTCCGACCGGCAAACGGCACATAGCTAGAATATTCGAGCACATGCCATGAAAGCTTTTTTTCTTTACTAAAAAAAAAAATTATGCATCTGCTATGCGCGAATTCAAGCTTTGATTTTGATCTGTCTAAGGAAGTTTAAAGAAGAGAAATGAAACCACTCTTAAATTGCGTCTCTTGTTTGCAAACATCAAATGAACTCTCATGTCTCCAAATTGTTGACTATAAGACAAGCTCAGTACGAGAAACGAGAGGAAAATTTTTCATGTCGTTAACTCGATAACAAGTAAAATTAATCGCTAACCTACCGCTCAAGAATCCATACAAATTCGTTTTGCCTAGCTTCACCACTCGATATTTACGCAGTGATAATGTGAAACGACGCTGCCACGCTTTTTCCCGCCGAAATGACGCGCTCAAGCCTCGTCTCCATGTGCCTGTTTTTATTTTTTTTTTTTCGCGAACGAGCGTGAGGGCTGGTAACAATTTAATGGACATATAGAACTTTGTATCGCTATTGGGCAGACTACAACGAGCGTTTTGTACATATATTTATGCTAAATAAAGATTAAGCGGCTAGAGAACCGTTGTATAACAAATGAGCAGCAAGGGCCCGGTTAGTATGATTACTCAAAGTACCCAATTAACATACATAACATTTCTGACGTACACAAGGTCATAATTGTCCATTTTGAATGCAACATTGGTACGATTTATATCATGTAATTGTTTATCATCAAACGCAAGTAAAATAGCAAAAATCATGGAAAAAACTATCCGTAATTTCCGAACGGAAACAATGCATCAATTCACGTCTTGAAGTTATCAAACTTGACTAAGACCGAATGTGAACATCGAATGTTTAAAAATCCCCGACTTGTGTTTATATTTGCGGGATCGATATTCTTACATGATTAATTTGACTACAATAACGGCAACAGCGATCGGATACACAAAGAGGAAAAAGACCAGAGCAAAAAGTAACGGTAATGTATAACGGTTCGACATCGCACTGCTAACATCTATCCCGCCAAGAAAGGTATTCCCCAGCCAACCAGAGCTACGGATGTTTCTCGACAGCCTCTCGGCACTGAATCCAGTAGCAGTCGCTCTCTGGATGTTACTATGAACCTGCTCCTCAAGCTCACGCCAATTGGAGGAATATGCCAGCGTCTGAACACAGAACTCTTTCGCGAACTCGACACAGTCCTCAAGTAAAACGCTATATCGATGAGGTGCAGCTCTGAGGGCAACAAACTGCAAAGCATTCAAGGTGATCTGCTTAAATCGGCCGATGTAAAAGCTCCTCTTAATTCTGGTGACGATGTCTTTAAAGAGCCGAAAATCCTTACGTATCTTATACATTCGCTGCTGTTGGTATTCCATGCACAATTCAAACTCCCAACAGAGAGCAACATCTGGAACATCGAATGGAGTTTTCACCACATCAGAACAGTCGACAAGACCGCTTTCGTCTACGCCAGCAGGGACGCACAGAACAAAGCCATGCCAAGCCTTGTTTATACATATGAATAAATCTATGTCCATCATATTTCCAGTTGATGCTAGCTGTTTGATCCGTTCTTGGTCTTTATCCTTATGGGCCTTAACAACTTGCTTATCGAAATCAGACAGCGTGTTTACGTAATACGCCAGCGGTTCCACACTGCGCAATGAGCCCTCTACCATTTTCTCTGTCGCGAAACAATTTCCCCACTCTTTCGCTGTTTCTGTTTTCCCTTTACGTTTTTCTCTGTATTAAATCTAGGACAGAATCAAAACAAAACGGATATTTGTGGAAATGCTGATCTTGCGAATTTAAACAATGATAAATTGTTTACACACTGGGTTTGCGATCAAGTCTCTTAGGTATACGATGCTAAGGGAAAAACAAGAGAAAATTATCTGTTCGAAACTCCAGCTGGCAAAGATGATCTAAAGATTCTTTTGTCCTGTTTATGCGGGCCACAACTTTTCTTCAGGCGAACACAGCGTTGTACAAATATCGCCACGTTTATGTATTCAGCGAACCGATCCCTTACTGCCATAACAACGATACGGCATAATTTAAGGGTGGTTGAAACGTGAGCTAGTGAGTCAAAGGTAGTAAGGCTTAATTCTTAACTTACACAGTGGAAGCCACTTCGAGTTCGTTACAATCAATTCTTGAGTTTCCGAGTGATTTTGCTTCGACAAAGCTGAAAAGTTTCACATGCGATCGATGGAGTCGTCAGAATATGGCGGATCGCTTTGAATGATGGGATTAAAAACCCGGAAGTTGTAGGACCAGGTTTATCATAGAGACGATCAACCTCATTCCCGGGTCCTCTCCCTTCCTCTCTCGAGGAAGGTTGCGGCTGGTCACGTGCCCATGCAGATCAACGAACGAAATACGAAGGGTGGGTCTTAAATTTAATTTTGTTATCAGTGCATTTAAATTCTATAAGCGGAAGGGACAAATCGCCAGTGCATTTTCCAGCGAGTATCGTAAAAAATTTTACGCATAAGCCTCTGCCTCCATTTGTCTTTTTGATAGTATCCAAAGTGACCAACGGCAACCGGGGAATAAGAGAAAGGAGTCTGAGAACGAAGTTGAAAAACGATATGCTCGTGATCTCAACTTGCGTTGTTGCCCTTGCTAAAATTATTGGCAAGGATTTACTAATGTACACAAACTGGCGGATCAAATCTTTTATTATGAAATGTATACCGATGTTCTTGTATACCTGGAATGGAATACTTCTCAGTAATAGAATGGAACGAGATCCTGGGAACGATTGATCAACCAAGGCTACCTGGAAATTCAGTCGGAGTTGATACAAAAACAGCTTGCATTGCACAATTTGATGGACCCTGTATTACTAGTTTAATCACAGGTGACCCAAGCTCACAGCACGAAACGAACGTGAACGTGACTAGTGGTGTTGTGTTACAAAGACGTCATTCACAGAGGATTGAATGACATTTTCTTTAAGGTATAAAAAGCAATGTTTTGGTTTCGACGAGTTATTGCCGTTTAATGCTCCACTCCTGAAATCTCAAACTCTCAAAACCCATTTTTTAACCCTTTAACTCCAACGAGTGACCAAGACAGAATTTCTCCTTACAATATCATTACAAAATACACCGCGTAAGTGATGAGAATAAAGAAAAAATATCAATTTGGGGATAATCAGTTGATCTAATACTAAATTCTCTAAACTGACGTTGTAGGAATTATATGATTGACAGTAAGGAGAATCACAAATTTGATCTGAGAGTTAAAGGGTTAACAGCCTAAGACAATGGTAAAATCAAAGAATAAAACAAGGCGACAAGATTATCAGATGTCATTTACAAACATTGCATTTTATGTCTTCAAGGAAAAGCGTCAAGTTCCCATAAAACCCTTGTAAGTGGTGGTTTTGCAACACAATACCGCTAGCACATCCTTGAAGACAAGAATCATGATCACGTCCGTTTCGTGTCACGAGCTTGAAGAACTTAGGAGGCAAAAGTCACGTTCACGTTCGTTTCGTGTCATGAGCTTGGGAGGCCTGTGGTTTGAAAGAACCTGCTTTACCAGTGATGTTCAATCCACATTCTTTGCGACATTGTGTGGCTTATACTTAAGATGCATTTATTTTGTAATAATCGCTTTTGTTTCCAAGATCTGCTTTTCTGTCTACGGATCACCCCCAAAGGCTCTAGAATACTACCTGCGCTCGAATAAACAAACGTGTTAGAACGAAACACCGTGGGCACAATCAAAATGTGCTTGAAGTTTGTAGAATTAACTCTCCATACTGGCAAGAAGTACCACGATATTTACAACGCTCCATTGGCCTTATAGGTCATTAGCTGTTTTTTGAAGTACATTAACATATAACAAACCACGAGACCAACGAAGAGTGCGTTGGTCGGTCGTCACGCCACGAAACTGTTTCCCTCTATTTGTTTCCTCTTTCTCCTGAAGATTCCCAGCGTCAGGTGAGCACATCAAAAATAAAATTGCTTTTCGGAAATGTTTTTAATGAACACCCTTGAAAATCATGCGAATGGGCAATTAAATTACTAATCGAACGCATTCTAATAAGTTCATCTGTCACGCAATCAAGCACACGAGGGTAATTACATGCGTACGTGGACACGTGTTCTGCGTGGAAACTAGACATCGATTCATAGGGCATCGTGATGTCTTCAAAGAACGTTGTCACTATTGGTCAACTCGTTAGGAAGTGCTTAAGGAAAGCGTATTTTCTTCCTCAAAAACCCTCGTCGTACTCTAAAGGGTACAGGTTCTTAAACGACAAAAAATACTGGACTTACGATTGTCCGCCTTCTCCTCTGTACTTCGATCGCCTTCTGTCGCCATTTCGTCATCTTCCCGCTGCTGGAGACGAAATTCCTATTATAATGGAGTGTACACCTGAATCGTACTTGCTTCAGCACTGGAAGCAATGGCTTCCGGCTTTTCCTCCCGTCGTTATCAAGTCACTAGACGAGGGACTGCGAGATGATATCCCTGTCATAACAACGGCGGCGCTGGAAGCCATCCCGGAACACAAGCATAGTATACCTCCCGATCTTTTGTACGAACTGCAGCTTAAAAGTACCATTCTCGAAGTAGGGGTTCCATTTCCACGATATCTTGTCAAAGACGCTCTAACATATCCTTGTGCTGTTAAAGCTGATATGAGCACTGGTGGACGTGGGAGCTGGCTTGTCAAAAACGAAAGGGAATTGTCGGAGACGCTGCAGCAAATGAAAGATGTGTGCAACTGGAAGGGGGGGACTGTGTTTCAAGAATACATTCCTGGAGTTAAAGAAGTGCCTAGCTTTCAATTTTATCTGCATAAATCCGGCGAACTCTTTTGGGTTGGCACAACAACCGGTGGATTTACCGGATGTTTTTCATGGACTACTGGATCAGTGGACTGGGACAAGCAAGAAGAGTATGAAAAACTTGTGTACAAAGAGTTCACATTACCCATAAAAGATTACCTGCAAAGGCGAGGCTACTTTGGCCTGGTCACTTTTGAGGTTTTAATTACTGATCATGCAAAGTACCTAGTGGATATTAACCCAAGAATAGGAGGCGATACAACACATTTGTTACTTGCTCGTCACATGGCTCTGGATATTGGCTTCAAACATTCAGCAATTTTTTGTAAAAATAAGCACTCCAACCTGACTTCCAAGGAACTAGTTAAGAGGGCAAATGATAGCAATGAGCAAGGTGAAGGATTGACTGTTGTACTATCAGCAGCTGATGCTGATGTAGGATGTGAATCATATGTGTCTGTTTTTGCTAAGACACCAGATGCAGTACAAACTCTTTTTCACAATTTGAAAAACTGATTGATGAGTCATGAATCATTAATAATCAGTTGGTTGTTACTTAATAATGAAGTAATGATTTGTAGGTTGCAATATTTTAAATGTATCAGTTAGCCTGCCTAACAGGTAAATACAAAAATCTTTTATTTTATTGTTATTTAAGAAGAGAGCATGGAATAACCTAACTTCTACAATACTTAATTTAATCTGTTGATCATAACATACAAATTAACTATACAATTTACTTTTCATTTTGTCTTTGCTGCATTAGTAATTCAGAAGGTTACTCAATTTTAATTTTATAGGCAATATTTTTTGACCTTTGAACAATTCATAACCTTGCTATAATATTTTCAATACTTAATGACTGAAGTCTTTAGGTAAAGGTGGAAGTAGGGGGAAGGGGGCAGGGTGGCAGCTTTGTTACCATTTAGCATCTTTCTCTACACTTATTTCTCCTACTCAACATTTGCATATGTTTCTGTTGTTCTTTTCATGGTTAGCATTACTAGTTTTTTTGTATCTTTCTGAAAATTTGACAGTCAATAAGAAAATAAATAAATGTTCCTTGAACATGTTGACTCCTGTTTTAATCCTTTAACTTCCAGAACTGATAAATGTGAAACTTCTTCCTATATTATTCATACATCATCCAGCAAATTGGCATGAGAGCACTTAAACATTTCAATGAGTTTTTATCCTGATCTAACACCAAATTCTCACAACTAATTAACAAAGAAATGTGTAGCAACTAAAGGGGAGAATTAACAATCAGATCTTGGGAGTTAAAGGGTTAATGGTGTGATGTGTTTTGTGTATTTCTTGAGTGGGTTCTGAAATTTTGTCAGCACATGTTGTTTGGTATAGTTTTGAAGTTGTTGATAACTTTCCCCTTTTCTGTCCCACCATACTGAACACTTAATTTTTGTCAAGGGTCCAATACCAAGGAATTTATGTCATAGGGAAGGTATGCAATGATTGCATACAATGATTCTGAACTCCTGAATCACAAAGCATAGAGCTACAGTAGTTACAGCAGGTTGAATTTCAAAATACTTATAACCTTTCAAAAGTGTCTTCAAATTTATTAAGAGTTGAATTAAGGGCACAGTCATTTTGGATGAAAGCACTTACTTGTTACATATCAACTAGCCTTTCTCTTCCTTCAATATTTGAAGCACCCATGTGATTGACTTCCCTGGTTTCATTTAGCTTGCAAAACACATCAATTTTTTAGTGTGAGTGCAGTGAATTAAAGAGCATAAGACTATTGCATTGCTGGTAAGTGGCCAGGTTGTGCAGCAGTTTTTAAAATGGTTTAGTCCAAAGTCAAATCCTTAGCTCATGAAAAGACAATTTCCAAATGGTAGAGACACCATCTGGGATTGGAAAAATGTATTCTGTGGCACAATTGCATGCATACCTTTTATATTGTTATGCTCATGATTAGGTGATTTCTGGGGCATTTTTCTCCTGTCAGTGAAAAACTTAAACATTAGTTACTTATGAATAAATGTTGGAAATATTTCATGCTCTACTTGATCTTCTGGAGGGACAGAAAGGGAGGGGGGGGAGGGTTTGGCACCATTTGATGTAGTTAATCCAGGGATAAGTGTTAAGGAAGGATATGAGATCTAAAAGGTTGGGGTGAACACCTCACTATCTGAATTTTTTTTCAATCAAAATGCTTGATTTTGGACACTGGTGTTTTGGCACATGAACATGACACGTGTTATGAGAGGGGTGATCATTTCATTTGTTCTTCTTTTTTGTCTTGAAGTGTTTCAACATCTAACTCTGCGGGCTATCACCCTCCCCTCTGCTTTTAGGAAGTGGAGTAGGAGATCATGTGGATGCTGTATCAACCCCTCTAGTAAATTTCTGTTAGGCACTATCCCCTTCTACTTCTCAGTTCAGAAATACTCACACATTGCAACATTAAGTCAGCTAAATAAAATGTGCAGTTGGCAATCTTTCCACACATCACTTCATCACTCTCTAGCTAAGTGATATTATTTCTTCCTTATTTTGAACTGCTTTTGACTTGGGCACCATTCCAAATCTGTAACAGGCATGTTGTCCATTTCCAAGACTGCATAGAGGTTTTCTTGTGCCAGCAAACCATGTCTTGAACAATTTGAGAAATTAGCAGAGGGATATAGGAAGCCCCACCCGCTAGGCAGCTTCTGACCACACCCACCTTGAACGCCCATGGCTAGTAAGTGGTGTAGAACTTTGGGAAGGTTTCCTTCAACAGAGGTGGGGAGAAATAATCACACATACAATTTCAGAAAAACACATAGAACAGGTTAGCACGCAGGCAACTTAATGTACAAGGAAGGTTTGAATGCGTTTTGATTACTCCGGACAAATTTTAACGTGGATTAGATGAAATTACTAGGATCATTGGCTTCTTTTTAGTCAAGTTTTCAATTTACACCACTCTTACTTTCTTAAAATTCTCTCAAATTATTTTTTCATTTACATGATTATTTATTTTTTCTGTATCGATCGCAGCACAGAACCATTCCCCAAATAGAGTGATTTGCGTTTGATTCTCGTGAAACCAAATCTAAAGTGATCGCCAAGGGTAATCATAACCGAGGTCTACATCTCATGGAGTCTACAAGAAATCAAGGTGTAGTGGGCTGTGAGTAGCTAAAAGCGCTAGAAAGCGCAGATAACCAAGACACTGATTGGTCGAGAAGATGGTGCGAGTTTTCTATAGCAAATTTTCAAATTGTTTCTGAAAATTTTCTGAACTGTGGAGATGACTGACCTGAGCCGTGTTTTGAAACTAAAGATTCAGAAAGGAAACAAACATGAGAAATTTCGTGATGCAACAATGGAGTTTCAACATTGGGAATGCAATGGAAAGTGTAAAAAAGCAAATTTGGGGCCAATCATTAGTTTATCAAAGTTTTAGTTTTGGCCGATATTGATTCTTCCTGACATTCAATATTCCCTCAGTTATGACAGATTATGGCTTATGCTACTGAAATAATTTTATCACACTTAGTTTTCTTGCCGCCAGTAATCCATCTGAAGCTGTCTGTAGGATACGTTCAATATGTCACCACTGCTTTATCAACCTCGCCTTTTCAACGCTCAAGAATGATTGAGAGGGGGAAAATTGCTCCGAAAAATCGTTTGCACGAATTAATAAAAACTGAGTCAATTGCGACCGAGATTAAGACTAAAAAACCTAAGAAACTCAAGTTAAAAGTCGAGGTGACTGAACTTCCTTTTCACCCTGCCACAATCTTGAACCTGGGATGTTTCTATGAGCCACAATCTTGTTAAGAATTCAGTACCTCACGTCCTCTTTACCTAAAGACACTAAGAATGCAAATTCGAGCATAAAGAGAAAGGTTTACGGCAACAACAATGAAAAATTAAGAGAACTCTGATAAGATTTCAGTCTATGGGTGCCAAAATGTTTTCTTCTTTTGGACAGCAGAGGTACACTTCCATGAAACCCAAGACATTGAATCCGATTTAAAGTTTCAGCCATTGTAAACAGCACCTGAGGACTCTAATCTCGGAAAAAAGCATGGCCGGTTTTTTCTCATCGTGCACTTAAGGATATTTGCATAATTTGTCTCATGTAAACTATGCGCAAAGCAGCGAAAAAATTAAAATCTTTACTAATTTCTAAATTATTTCTGTATTTACAGTTAGTTGATCAAAAACGTTGACCATTTGAAACGGTTCGTTCAACAGTGTTGTAGAATAATACGACGTAACATAGGTCATGAAATTTTAGATTACAACGAAACACAAGAGTAAATTTTGCGTCTCGAGAGATAGGGTAATAATAGTAATAATAATAATAATTTATTCATTTCTAGTGCGCATCTGTACATGACTATGATCAGATGCGCATTCCTGAAGTATATATTATAATAGAGAGAATTGAAGAAACTAAAGTATATATCATGTAAAAAGAGAAAATGCTAATAATATGCTAATAAAATCTCCATCCTTGCGATTCTTATTTAACTTGTGAGTGTTCCAAAAATATCTTGAACTTCTTCGGCACTCTGAGCAAAGACAGACACGTCTGAATTACAGCCATGAGGCTCGTCAGCAACAGCTAAGATAACAAGTCTCCCTTCGATCTTTTCGTTTAGACCGTTCGCCTTCTGAACCAACCACTTACCGGAGACATTGTGCGTATTTTCAGAAAACATTGCAGAGTGCTTCAGACCAAACACTGATGCCATATACCGAGCGAGAAGAAGGTGACTTGTTTCACCACCCACCCGTGGATTTAAATCAACCATGAACTTTCCGTGATCTGTAAATAAAACCTCGAACGTAACGAGACCAAAGTAACCGTTTTTTAGAAGGTAGTTTTTGATAGGGATTGTAAATTCTTCGTGCACAAGATCTCTGTATTCCTCTTGCTTTCTCCAATCAACAGTAGCGGCTATCCATTTTAATCCATCAAATTTCCCGTGCGTAGTTCCTACCCAGAACATTTCACCAGATTTACTAAGATGGAATTGAAAGCTGGGAACTTCTTTGACTCCTGGAATAAATTCTTGGAACACAATTCTTCCATCCCAACCGCAGAGATCTCTGATATGAGTTGTTATGGACGTAAGTTCCCCTTCGCCTCGAACGATCTGACTTCCACGACCACACCAGCCCATATCAGCCTTAACCACACATGGAAAACTGATCGAGTCTTCTTCCATGTGCTTAGGAACTGGTACCCCAATTTCGAGTATAGAGCTTTTCAGTTGCAGCTTGTACATAAGATCGGGATGAATACTTTGTTTGTGTTCTGGAATGCTCTGCAGCGCGGCCGAAGTGACAATAGGTATGTCATCTAGTAGCGCTTCATCCACAGATTTCACCGATGCCAGTGGAAAATCTGGCATCGTATTATTCCAGTGTTCTTGTAAATATGACGGTGGTTCACTTTCCATGACCAATTGAATTTTATCACCGGTTGTTGCGAGATTACGCAATGGAAACAAGGTCTGGTTAAAACTTAGCGGTGGAGGAGGCGAATCAAATACTTGGTATTTGGTGCTATTCTGAAATCTGTATCCTTTGGAATACGACGACGGTTGTTGTGGAAGAAAATAAGCCTTCTCTAGGTCCTTTTGGATAAGGTCTCCAATCGTTATCACATTCAGGTTCGAAAAAAACGACGGCTTCGAGTTAGTGGCCATTTTGAAATGCGAATTGAATTAAATTTAGGAATTAAGTGCGACTATAGCGTGACAGAAGCACGGCGTCCGAATCAAGTGTTTAATTAAGTTCGGCAAAGTAATTGAAGGCCCATTTCCAACCTTGATGCAACGCGGTCGTTTGTTTTTTTTTTTAACCACTGCTTTTATTTAAATAGCGCCTCTGATTGGTCAGTTATTTTGATCTTGCCACGTTGTCTCAAATCAGCTTCTGCGTTTTCTCTGATAAGTTTGGTGAGCTTGTCAAAATAATACTATGTAAAACAATACTATGCGTTTTAATCCAGTATGGAATCAGATGAATCCATTGATTTAGTAGATTCCGAGGCAGTAAACGCTTATGGGTCGGTTGCTGCTTCAGAAGAACACGAAAATTCTTGCGAGCATTCCGAGGAAAGTGAAAATGTTGATCCACCACGTTTTCATTCATACATCCTTTTTTTTTTTATTTAAGTTTGCCATCCTTGTTAAATAGGACCAAGAGTCAATTGAAGTTTCCTGCCCGTGGACAGGATCATCTAACGTGAGAGTCATGGCAAAAATATAAGAGGTTGTATGGGAATAAACAAACGCTCCTAGAAAGTAGAAATACCGTCAAATTTTCAATGAAAAATGATCTAACCATACTTCCACGGTGCATCGCTTGTTGTCTGAACGCCTACTTTGTTGATACGAGGCCATTTGGGTGAGTTATGTTTCTAGGTTTCCCACTCCCAAAAGTGTAGACATGGATAACTCGATATAATGGCCTCGTTTCAACAAAGTAAGCGTTCAAACAACAAGCGCTGCACTGTGGGAATAAGGCGAGGTATCATCATGCGGCATTTATTCGAATAATAGACTCAAAAAGCGTCCAGCGATCATTACTTCGATCGCAGTTGGAAATTTTGAGTGACCTATACACAAATCCTTTTGAATGTACCAATTCTGATATCGAGAAAGCATATCTGACATAAGATCTATTTCTGTTCTCTAAAATTAAAATGGTCGGCTACCATATTATTGTTTGGATTTTAAATAAAAGCCGCTCTCTTATAAACGCCGCCCGCGAATGAACGTCGCACTCGAATCACAAAAATTTAATAAACGCCGCGGCGTTTAATCGAATCTATTCGGTATTTCACAAGACGATCATCTCACAGCTGGAGCTTGGGCTGCCTGCGTACTCTAGCACGCCAGTGATTTAGACGTCGTACCCCTGTCGTGCCAAACTGAATTCATAAATCAGTATAGTACACTAATGTACTTCGGCGGATGTGCGTTACCACGGAAGATTCATGTGAATAATTCTTCTTTACAGATTATGCGAGGAGGGTGCTTCGGTAAATACTGAATTACGTACGACATAAGCCCGACGACTGAATCCGAATCGTGCTTCCGTTACGCAATGGTCGAACCTAATTGCAATTAAGTTCGGCCAAGAGCCCAAATAATAGGCTCCTGGTTCGGCACGATACAAGCTGAGTCTGAGCTGGGCCTAATTCTGCTGCCCCGAAAAACCCTAGCATATTTGACTTTGGAGACGGTTCAGAAAGTTCAGGACCGATACGGAAGAGCGAATGATATTTTAACCAAGGAGCATTGTGACACTACATTGGCAGGGGTTTCAGTAAAAGCTGAGGTCTACCGCCGCTTATGAGATTCCCTCCCACCGTCTGTTTAGCCTACGAGCAAGCAGTCGTGCTTGTGTTTTGCGCTACGGCCCCTTCTCAGGGGGAAGCCAATCGTTACACCATCAGCAGCCACCTTTGGTAAAAGCTTTCTTAAAACCGACTGCAAGACTCAAATGACATGATCAAATGCTTTTATTTCGTCTTTAAAATAAAAAATAGAAATTCAATTCTAATTCACTCCATGCATAAATATCTTAAAATTTTGACTTATAGAATCTAAGTTCACAAACTCTGCATTTTGATTAGCAATTTTTCACTCAATAGTAATTCTTCACATTGTGTGCATACTTCACTCTCATGGAAAAAGAAAGCGATAGAAAACTTCTCTTCCCTGCTAATTCTTTTCTAAAGAGATTTAACAGGGTGGTGAGAAGTGTAATTAACAGCACTAACCTAAAATTATTCACCAAATATACCTGCACAGCAGGCTATTGGAAGTTGAGAAACAATTCAGCTCTCGGCAAGCCACTGGAAGTCGAGAAAAAAGTCAGTTCTCTATCCCCTACCCCCCAGCACTACATTTCTCCAGGGTCCTCCAGTGCCCCAGGGTATTAACTACGCTGGCTCAAGCTAAATCCACTTCTGAAGTTGACGAGAAGCGTTTACATACGTCATTTACAACAAACATGTGTCATTGTGAAGCTTCGAGCAACTCTTTCCTATGGTCGTGGATTTGAATTCCACGACCATGAAGTATCGGGAACTGTTTTAGTTCTAAGATATTACTGCGCACCAAACAAACAAAATTAATGTTGGTCCTCGGCAACGCGCTCAGCCGATCAAATTTGATTAGGAATCCTTTCACAAGGTAGGTGATAAAGATAACCAAGTTGCGCGAGCACCTCTCGATGCTGATTCATTGCACTGAAAACCAGACACGATGAGCTTAAACCTTTCATCTGACTGGTCGAGACAGTGATGTAAAATTTTCCACCAATTAGGATCCCTAATTAAAACTACATTACGCCTCTGCTTATTCGCGGTCGATTATTCAATTATACAAAAAGTTCGTCTTCTCTAAATTCTTGGTACACATCAATGAAAACACTTACTTACATGCGCAGTCTAGATAAACTCTCCCTTTTTCCTTTTCGTCGACTGCATTTAAATAAACTTTCGCTAAAAAAATAAATTAAGTTCGTTTTTTACAAACATTTACATCCACAGGAATCTCGTTTCCCATCCCAGATGGCTTAGAAAAAACCACTGTCACTGAAAGCTTCAATTCATCTCTGAATGTTGAAAGAAATCCCACACCGTATTTTCGAGCATTAACACTCCACATTAAAAACAGATGTTACGACTGTGTATATCATGCTGCCATTGTGGCTGTTATCACTACGACACTAGGAAGTTCCACCCCTCTTGGAGGGGCCTAAGTTGACACCAGATGCCGGCACCGTGCCAATAGGACCCAGAGGAACCGTTCGGTTTCTGAGGGGAAAAACGAAGGGATTGCAAAGATAAATTGTGTGCAATTACAAATAGTATTAGATGAAAGTAATGCTAAGGAACTTCATTTCCAAAGTCAAACGCAAAAATCAAAATATATGAGCGAATACAAATGACACATCCTCTCTTTTGTGCTCTATATTAATTTGTTCCTATTGCTGTTTCAAAACAGGGGGCCATGGCTAAGAGGGAAGAGGGCTTTAGGTGTGCGATAAAGTGCATTTTGATTGATAGACGTCAAAATAAAACTAAAGAGATCATAACTACCAATCAAAGTAACATCAATTCCACATAGAGCCAGAGAGACCTTGAAGAAAAACATAGTGACAAAAGCACGAGAGAACACAGCCTATGTCGGGCTGCCGGTCAGTGGAGACGACAGAATGAGCGAGAGACGAAAAAATTGATGGGTTTTAACAGAAGGAGTTGACTCCCGACTTTTTTTTTTACTCGCTCGCCCCGGTTCTTCGCTCGTCGCCACTAATTAGCAGCCTGGAGCCAACTCAGTGACCCAGTTTTCATCTGATTAGTTGAGAGAATGACGCTAGGCAAAATTGAAAATTGCCCTTCTACATGAAGTTAATTCACCTTTCCAACTGTGCTGTGCTGACTTCTCTAGATTAAAATGCAACTATGCTCACCCACCTTGCACAAGGAGACATGTCATAATAGCCACTCTCCATGAGAACGTTTTCGATTATATTCTGCAATAAAACAATCGTAGTTTAGATCTTAAAACTTCCTCAAAATTAAAGAATTAGAAGATAAGCGACGATGTAGCAGAAATTGGAAAAAAAAACAAATGACAAGTGTGATGAGAAGTGATGGGGATTAAGAAAAATACCAATTAGAGGATTATAAGCTGATGCAATACCAAATTCTCCGAAGTAACATCATAAAAATTGCATGGCAGACAGTTAGGAGAATCACTAATAAGATCTTAGGAGTGAAAGGGTTAAGAACAGATGGCCAATATGGACTGAATAAAACCTTCAATGATCTTTATTTCAGGAGACAAATACCAAAAACAAACAGAGAAATCAAAATATAAGTACGAAGATAACTAAGGATCGATAGGGAAAACCGACACAAATTGGAAATTAAAAACTTTATCATTTACCTTTCATCAATCCTTCCGAATTTTCGTAGAAGTTGAAGGGGTTGGGGCCGAAAAAAAAGAAAAAAAGAATTCTCGAAGACTTTCATCTTCTTTACAACTGGGAGACAAGATTTAAAGCACAAGGAACCTTCACAAACCTGCATCATCTCGTACGTTATGCCAATTTCTTGGGCGTCGCCTGATTCAAGGTTAACTCCACTCACTAAGAACACAAAACCAACAGTAAAAAAAAATGACTCGCGTTTATGTCCCACAGTAACTTTGCCACATTTTGCTCTCTGGACCTACCTAACTTGTCAGCGGTATCTAGCTGGTGATGCAGGAATGCTGGATCTCCAAACCTGAACTTCAGGTCAATAACTTCTCTAGACCCTTCAATCACCTGTCATGTAACCATACAAAGTGTTTCTTAACAGAGGTCAAAAAATTTATATCTTGGCCAAACTATCAGAAATTGTTCCGGTTCAAATGGCATGATGGAATATTAGTATCTCGCATTTTAACCCCCTTCCCCCACCTTCTGCATCTCGTCCTGCTCCCCCCTACGTTTTATTTCATACTCTTGGTTGGAGGTTGCCACTAATTAAGTGGGAGGTGCCATGCTCAGGAGAGACGCGGCCAATGGGGCGGAACAGGGACCTCTCCAGTTTAGCCCTGCGTGCTGACCACAAGGTCTTAATGTATCACGTCCATTTACAAAAGAGAGTGATAAAACTCGTAGCATATCAAATAGGTCATATTGGAATGTCATCTCCGATAAATGAAAACAAATGGAACAAACGTTGATCCATCAAAATCTTACGAAAGGTTACATTTGTTTCTTAAAAAATGCTACTATAAATATTCTAAAATATTCCAGGGAACCTCTGGTGACGAAAAGGAACATACCTTCTTGACCTCGCTTTTAAGATTGACGAAGGAGCTGTTTTGAGGAGCAAACAGAGCTCTCTTGAACTGCTCGACTATTCTTCTCTGTGGGTTTGGTGATAATGTAGGTGGCAACTGAAACGGCAATGAAAAATTAACAAGTGAACTAGGTAAGAAATAAATAGTGCAACGAGGATGAACTTTCCTTGAACTAAGAGTGCCACGACAACGAATGTCTTCTCGGCTACTGTATCCCATTACAACAATACTAACGCTGGATATTCGAGGATCAATTCTGCTTACTGATGTTCCACGGGTTAGACGAATACAGGGGAACGACATAAGATAAAAAACTAATCGCGAACCTGCGTTATGAAGATGATCTTGTGGAGTTGGTTGAGAATCTGGGAGATGGGATCGTTTATTTGACGCACTTTGCGAGGAGAAATGCTGAGAGTGGCTGCGGCAGTAGCTAAAACAAACAAACAAACAGACTTACATATTAACATTAAAAAGCGCTCTGTTGTAAAAAGTTATTTGAAACGTAATCTTTCGGCTTTCAGTCCAAAGCATTTACGAATAATAAACAAAATTATACTTACGAGGTCGTGCCTTCAACTGTCCACTACTCTGTCTTCTATACGTTTCCACAGATGAGCTAAAATGGAACGAGCAGAAGGACATTAAAACACTTTATTTCTAAGAATTAGGTCCTTTTTAGATAAGCAATATTACTTGTTCACTCTCGTTGAAGCGGACGTTTCAAGTGTCAGCCCTTCCTCAGAGGGAATCGGATTCACTGTGACGAAGGGCTAACGCTCGAAACATCAGCTTTAGAATCCCTCAACAATGGTCAATTGAAATAATCCACCCAGTTTATAAAAACAATTATCTTGTAAAACCTCACTCCGACGCAGCACCAAATATACTTTAGAAACTTACCCACCTCAATCCTTAGTTAACCTCATACAAAAAGTATACTTTGCTATTGCTGATCATGCCTCCTAACGGTCCGTCCCTGGTGAGTCTTCTAAGTTGAAAAATTCCCACTGGGCATATTTTTGCCACCCTCAACTTTAACGTGAGGCTTTCTGTCTCACACTAACCTGCTGTGTGTCCTTCTCGATGAAAATTCACTTATCCCAGGAGTAGGAATCCCAGATGAATTTCCGCCAACAGGTGTTGTTGTTATAGTACTCGAACCATTTGACGGGGAAGCCTTGCTGCCGGCCGCGAAATCAATATGAAGTTGTCTCCTCGCGCCTTTCCGTGGTCCCGGGGGCTTCGGTACCGCAAAAACATGAGAATTAGTGGCGGAAGAACTGGCGCCTGGTTTCTCAACGATAGTCCTACTGTTGGACAATTTTTCTATTCCTACCCTACCGCCCGATAACGGCTTATCTTTGTCTTTGTTTAAAGAGGACGATTTTTCAGTATTCCCTTTGTAACTAGATTTATCAGTAATAACTGGCTTAAGAGTCCTTTGCCGCCGCGTTGAGCCTGGCGACGAGCTACTTTCAGGTTTAGTACCACCATTTTGTTCAGGTGATCTGATACTGGAACCCAGGACTCCGTTGGCTTGAGCTTCTCCTCCAATGTCAATTCCAGAATCCACTTGGTTCGCAAACTCTGTTTCGCCGTTTTTATGAACGCCATTCTTGTTGAACTCTGCTAGGGCACTCGCTGCCTCAAAGACGGTGTCAGAACCTTCAGGGACGTCAACGTTCCTGAGGCCAGCGGCTCCTCCACTACTTGACAGGTTCACCAGCTTGTCATAGCGTTCTTGTGAGGCCCAGAAAAGGCGATGGTAGTTCTGCATATTACGATTTGCCTCGATATAATGCCTGCAAGGTAAGACAACTCTTTCGGTTAAATTGGACCTTCTACGATGGCCATTTCACTACCGTAAATTAGCACAGAAGAGTATTATGAGGTTCTTAAGAGGGAAAAAGTAAGCTATTCAAAATGGCAAACGATCTGAAGATAGGTCTATTAACGCTATACAAACATCCATCTACTTGGGAAGAAAACACACCTCTGGGTTCTTTTTCTTTCTCGTTCCAGTTTCTTTTCCAGGCTGATCTCATTGGACCGCAACTTGTCCACATACACCAGCATTATTTCGCTGATAATGGCAGCAACCTAGAACAAAAAGACCACTTTAAAATTTAAGAGAATAACAGAAGTGCAAGAACATGAAATGAAGTGTCACAGCTCCGGCCTGTGCAAAGACTGGGACCTCTCCCCTCAAAACACAAATAACGTTGAATATAAACACTATAATATAAAAACTGATTGAAAATGTTAACAATCACTTATTATGAGATTGTGACGTTACATAGCATACCTGAATTATATCTGGTCTTTCATCAGGATTGGGTGTTAGACACCTACACGGAGGAAAAAAACAAAGAAAGAGTTAGAGGCGCGCAAGGAATTCTTTCTCGCACGCGAAACTTCAAACCATTCTCCAGCACCCCTTCATGCGCGCTTGTTATGTGAGCCAACGCGCTCTAGTAGCCAAAACAACAGTGACATTCCCAATAACAATGTTAACAGCAGCAAACAAAGCCACAGTAAGATTTGGGTATTAACTGCACTATTGCGAACCCCTAAAAAGACTACTTCCTTTTCTCTCCGCTTTCAGCCAGACTCCTCCACCACGGTAACAATGAGCTACGTCCATCAACCTTTCTTTACATTAACCTTCCGGCTTTGCGCGCATCGGTACAAGAAAGGGTGATAAAAGAAATGAAAAAAAAAAAAAAAACTAAAGATTTCTCTAGGTGTTCGCACGGTCAAACTAACAATCTATTCTTAAAAGTATACACAGCCAATAAGACTTTATAATTCATACCAAGCAATATGCACCAAAAGTCACTCTACTCTTTCTATCACTGACCTGGTCACAGTCTCGGACAGCTTGTCCGAGTACTCTCCTGGAGGTATGGGCTTGTACTTAGCTTCTACAATCTGTGTTTGAGGGATAAAAACAAAGTTATAATTCATAAAAAAATGAAACCCAGAACAAAGTGATTTCCCCGTGACACGTAATGTAGAGCAACAGTCCATGGCTGACATTTTGATATGTTCATTTTGAGTTTTTCATCGTTACAAAGCGGTTCACGTGCAACAGTCACGATAAAGTCACTTTTGAAGTGGAACCACGTCAACATCGGCAGATATTACTTTGTAGGGCAAACGACAAAACTTCAATACTATTTTTTTCACCGCTTTGAACAACTCAAAGCAAAGCTTTTTCTTAGCAAGATCATGGTCTCATAAGTTAACTACAAGAAAGGTGCAATCAACTGAATTTATACTTGTTACCTGATGGGATACCTCTAATGAGGGGCATTTTTCTAGATTGAGGGTGCTCCATGAATAGAAGTTCCACTGTATTATGACTGACAAATTCATTAAAACTGACACAAATGTAAAATTTAAACTCAGTAGAGTTCCCCTGACTATTTTAACGGTTGTTGCGATTTTCAGCTCAACTCGTTGATCAGCGCTGAAGGTGCCAACTAATGAATAACAAAGGTCTCCTAATATTACGCACTTGCCGACGTACATTTTTTGCTAATGCTAACATGTTTGACGAGTAAAATGGAGGTTGCAGAGTTGCCATTTGATACAAAATACAGCCTGAGGCCCACACGTCCGCCTTTTCACCGTAAGGCTTGCTTTGCACAACCTCAGGACTAAAAACAGAGAATAGAGATATTCAGTAACTCAATTATCACCAGAACCCAGATAAAGTACTCTGCATGGAAACAATGCCGGTCTACACTTGTGGATATTCTGTTCGCATAAACTCTGGGAGGTATTTGACGGTTTGTTTCTACATCCACTCCTTTTCACCAGTTTTCGCAAGTACAAGAAATCACTAGTCAGCTGACTACAATTAACTTTTAAGTGATGTTACAACAAAAATTAGTAATGAAGAGATTTAACGTCTCAACTTTTAAGATGGTAAATATAACCAAAAATACGTTCCTAGAAAGATGATATTCTCCGACATCGCAGATTTAAAGAATGCCGGAATGTGCCGCTTCCATTTTCTCGAAAATATATGCTTGAAAAATTAGCATCAATGACGTCGAAACTTTCGTCAGAACAAACAAAAAAAAAACCTGATGACTTATACTTACCATGAATATAATATTGTACCAACCACCGACGTCATTTTACTTGCATCAGGATTCTTCTGCTTGGCTAAACCGAAATCAGCTGTAAAGAAAAAGATATAAATTATCATTACTTTTCCACGAAGGCTAATTTAAGAAGCATAGCAAAACAAAACAAGGCAAAAACAAAAGCTACTAACTTATAGTGACTTTATCATTTTCCCCCAGCATGATGTTGTTTGGCGTAAGATCCCTGTGGACGATGTGTTTTTCTTTGTGAATGTAACGAAGTCCTAAAACAATCTAGACGAAAAAAGAAGAAAGAAAAATAAATTAGAGATCAATTTTCAAAAGGTAAAGGGATGGAATGAGAAAGTATACGAACGAATACGCGAATGAACGCACGCATTCGACCTATATGAATGTATCTTTAAATAATTTTATGCCATCATGGAAAAGCACAGTTCTGTACCTGTATAAAGATATGCCATATTCTCTCCTCTGAAAACTTGGTCCCTTTTTCTTTCAAGGAATTAAAATGCTCGCCAAGAGGAGCGCCCTCGACTAATTCCATTATGACGAAGAGTTTGTCCTCTGTAATAAGTATAAAACAAGAAGAAATGGTCAGCACAGTGAAACGGTAAAATCGTCCAACTTCTCTGACATTACTTGGCGCTATCAGAGTGTTAAGCTGTTAACCTCTGAGAGTCACTAACATCTAATTTCTCCTTACAGTATCATTGGTGAATCAAACATAGGGGTCTTAAGAAAAAAAGGAAATGATCGCCTAGCAAAGGAGCTCTTGATAGGCGAACAAATTCTCCTTGTCAGCGCCGAAGGAAATATAAAGAGAACAGTATGAAGAGTATGCATACTGACGCTGGGCTAAAAAGGGTTATGGTATCAATATACTAGACAAACGTCAATTTGTTTTTCTTGTATTTACGTGTTTAGTTGCTTAAAATAAATTTATGACCAAAGAAAAGCTACTCACTTTCTTGAAAAGCTTTGTGGTACTTGACAACATTTGGGTGTCTTAGCTGAAAAGCAAAAGGAAATTAAAATATACTGGTTTTACTATTATCGAAGCTTAAATGCACTGGCCGCGCAGAGTGCCTTGTGATTTAAATGCAAATTGGAAAAGCAGCAGGAAAATCTACGAGACTCTAGAGACTTTGCTCAAGTTGTTGTAAGAAGTCCATTCAATTCTCCCGGCTCTTAGCTCGCTGGTCAGCGAGTAAACTTATCGTCACATTCGCCTACACATTGCGTGGATTTCTCCTTATTCGCGTGAAGTGAATAAAAATTGATAGTACAGTTAAGTTACCTGTTCTTTCATGATAGCTGTTTCATTAACAATTTCACCAACACTCTTTCCTCTATCTTTAGCCGTCTTTCCAAGAGCAGGATTATGAACTGACATCTATAAAAATAAAAATTACAAAATTTAATTTAATCTCCCCATCTACAGAAAGGTACCGAGATCGCTAAACAAACTGCCATGGATATTTAAAGAACTCAAAGAAGCAAGAGCATAAAACAATTTCCAGAGAAACATCTCTGATACTACAAGAAAAAAGAAGTGACGCATATTAAGTCTCTTTAACACGTTGGAAGCACAAGTTTTTAGGCCAGAGTAATAAACAAAGCCAAACCTCTTTCATGGCGAGAAAGCTCTGACCAGCATTCTTCTTTCTAACCTGAAATAAAAATGATAATGTGATCAAATGATGAGCAACAGTTTTCGCTAAAAAAGCGATAATACTTTAGTACACAGATGTACGTGTTCGTAGAGTAAACAGACCTTCGTAAACACAAGACCCACGTTCAATTAGCTAACGGAGTCAACTTACTTTAAAGACACTTCCAAATGCACCAGATCCCAGAAGTTCAAGTACCTCGTATGAACCGATGGAATGACTAGGAGCCTTGTTCTGATTGGTGGCTTGAATATTGGTTTTAATCACTGAAATGTCCTCCTCCTATAGGAAACAAAACCAGAAGTGAAGACTCATTATTTCTTGTTGTCTTGATCGGAGAAGTGTTAAGGGGAAACTGCAGACGATTGGAACCAGACTGTCCGACGCACGTGTAGGCCTGTCAATCCTTCAAATCTGATCTACTCTAATAAGTAAAATTCTCACTCATACAGTTGAATTTTCCTAGAGCTGAAAAGTAAGTCTATTCTTATCAGCTTAGCCTTTCACTCGACTAAATTTGAATAATTAAAATACTAACGCAGCATAATTATAGTAATCAAGAACAATAGTGATCTGCAGTATTTGTTTGGATTAAAAACGTTTATTTGACAGTGGTAATCTCCCTTTCAATGTAAGTTAGCCTGCCCCTCTATCTTTCTATGCCGCTTCCAGAAGTTGAGAACTATCCAGGAAATGTTAATTAAGGAACAAAACGATTTCCAAATACAGTCCACTGGTCGAATAGAACTCGAGACTGCTGTGTCAAACGCTTGCTTGATGAAAAAGAAATTCATCAAGCGGAGTAATTCATTAATACCGTTCAATGATTTCTGCATAGCACACACAAAACAACTCTATAACCTCACCGTCAAAGTGGAAATTTTGTCAACCAGGCACTTGTAGGCATTTAATTCCCTGACGTAATGACCGACATCAATAAATTTCTCGAAAAGGTCTGGGGGAAACAATCTGTAAATCAAAAGAAAATCAATGTAAAGATTTTCAAAACTTCCAAGCCCTGCCCTTATTCAAGAATTCTCGATCTCTCACAATGTAAACTTAGGGTTAGGCTGAATTTAAACAATATATCTCACCTCTTGAAGAGTTGACGATTTCGCTCCATACTAAACAAGAATCTGCAGAGAGTTAAGCACAATAACTCACTAAAGACGAAGGTGATAGAGCGTTATTTTGGAACAAAACAACTTAACACTAGCTGCCAATCTGTTCCTGGGCAGGACGATGTGGTTCCAATAACATATGAATTATGTATCAAAATTTCGGACAAAGATGGGAATATAAGCAAACGAGGTTTTAAAATGCAGCTTGAGGAAACTTGACTATGCCTTCGCTGCATTTTACAAATAAAACTGAAGAAAAACAATTCCCTGCGGTTGGATCTAATGAGGCTCGAACAGTAAGATTTTCTTGAGGAGAGATGATGTATACACACTAACTACAAGACAATGCACAGGAAGGAAAGAGGACCAACCTCAAAGCCCTGAATGCGCTTTTCTGTGAAGAAAAAAAATTACAACAAAAGTAAGTCGAGTTAATCAAAGATTACCAAGTACAGTACTGTGTGTGTTGATGAAAAGGCCTTACGATCTACACCTGCACTTGTAATACGGCACAAAAATAGTCCGTCCTACCTGAAGGTGTTCTACAGTTGCGGCTTCCTCAGAAGAAGACATTTCTTGGGGCAGAATAAGTAATCCCAGCAAGTAAATACCGTTTGACTGAAACAGAGTAAAGAATTATACGTACTTTAAAATCAAGCTTTGAGATATAAAATGTGTACAGCAAACCTGTCTGTTCTATGACGGTACCCGTCTCTTATCAGCTAGAAACGGTCATCTCTCCCTTATTATTGTTTTCTACTTATAGTTACGTGCTCTAGTTTTAATTGCTTTTAATTCTTTGAGAGTGATAACATGTCATGGGAGAGTCCTAATGCATCAAAATTTGATGTATTATCCGCAATATTCTCGGAAACAAAGAATTGTGGAAAACAACACTCTTTCTCGTTTTTGGTTTTGTTTACCATCCCCTTGAAATCACTCTGGCCATCCGATGGAATGTAATTTTACTCAAATGTTTTGGCCGTTTAAGGCTATATGTTATGGCGATTTCCTGATATCTTGGACGTCTTGGGTTGTTTTTGGCGATTGTCGGAATTCGTTCCGGTACTGGGTTAGATTTTGTACTTCAACATACCACAAACATCATTAAAAATCACTTCTCAACATGAACAAAGTAACTGAAGGGTAAAATTTCCGCACAGCCCCATACTATTGTAAAACAAATCTGTTTTCCCAATGGCGATGTATTGTTTTATTCATTGTTTTCTCTATCCAAGAACTGAATGCATAATGTAGTATGGGGCTGTGCGGAAATTTTATCGAAGTTGATAACTATAACAAAACCGATACGAGCTTCGGTTTAATTAACCAAGTAGTATTACGGCAATAATGAATGAATATTTACCATACAATTATTACTCTAGCTTTACGTTAGTTAAAATGCGTCCTGCACTCTATGTTACACGCCAGTATGCTGTGCCCACTAGCACGCAAGCACTTGAATTAGAAGGCTAACACGCTTTGTGTATTTTCCGACTCACGCTTTGTTGTTTGTAATGTGTTATATGAAACAAAAGCATAAGCTATTTAAGGGGTGCTCTGTAATTAATGTATTTGGAGTTTTTGTCACAATTTTAATGCAAGATGCGGTGGCCTGGTACCCTGTTCTCTGGACTTTGAATGAAGAGGTCCAAGTTTATTCTCGTCGGGTCATGGAGTTGTGTTTCCTAGGCTAAAATAATTGCCTTGACATTCGACTCTCTACACCTTGTAATATAACTGAATACCGGAAAATAATCGAAGAAACGTGATTACTCTCTGAATGTTGAGAGCCAGTGGATAAGAATCCCTTCCGGATGTAACTGTAATATTCCTGTTACACGTTAAAAAATTCTAACAAGCCTCGTGGTTGATGAATCATTCAGAAGGTAAGATTTGGCTTCTTTTGAGAGAAAACATTCAGTTTACACTCCTCACCTGCACAATTTGCTGTCCATTAGTGTCATTGACAACAAGCTCAGTCAGGGCAGAGCACACAGCTACCCGAAAATAAAAAACAATCACTAAGATCAGTTCATCCTGATTTTAACTGAAAGTTGCCCATTGTGAACTACATGTGGTTGCAGATGACTCAAACAAGAAGGTTCCTGAAAGAGGTTTTTAGAAAAAAAAAACCAAAATGTCCTAACTTACAAAGTATTAGTCTTCCACCAACAATAAACAAACAAAAAAACTAAAAAGTTCTTCCCCCCGAAAAGCAAGTTACAATCTCACATAAACTTTTTGACATTTTTAAATATTAGCATCGCATTTTCTCAACCAAACTTTCTATAAGAACAAATAATTTTACTTCATCCCTATCCCTCAAATCAATACTGACTGGCTTGCACTGAGATCTACATGTGTACAAGTTTAATATATTTTCCATGCATTGCTATCCCTTTGTATATTATTGTTTGGGGAGGATAGGGTGGGGGGAGAAGGTTTCCATAACTCACCAATTTTCAAAGGCATGGTATCTTCTCCAGAATCAGCCTCAGTCTGCTTGAGCAACAACACAAATGCAATTTTACTCTCTGGAAAAGGTATCAGTGCCGCATATTGCAGTAAAAGTTAAATTGTACATGTATTTCAGTGTCAAAGGTTCAGCCTAAAATCAGAGACCAAACACCAGGGATGTGTAAACTTTTATGCCCTATAGCTTGTTGCATTGGTGTTTAACTGTCTCTCATCACTTAAATCAATGTTGCCTTTTGTCTAGATAACATTGTATATTTGAAAAGGAGTTTCATCAATGAATGACATTTCGTTCATTGGCATCAAAACTACTAAATAAGTTACTTGTTATATTTTGACCTTAAAAGAATTGCATTTTTTATGTGACCATGACAATGCACAAATTTACACTAATATTTGACTTTTACAAGCCTACAGTGTACAAGTATGTTCAGGTTAAAATAGAATCATTCATGCTTAAACATTTTATTTGACCTGCACTGTGCACATGTAATCAAGATCCCTTATGTTACATATACATGCTGCAGTTTACCTCTGCACTGATTGATGCTTTTGAAGTTGTATCAGAGCCCAGATATAATACTTCAGCACTTGACTCTGGCTTCCGATCTCTGCAAAAACAGACAAAGTAATTAAGAACTGTTCCTATTTTTTTTCACTCTAAAGACTCTGAAGTGGCTGATTTATTAGCAAGCAGACTACGCAGTGTGACAGGTTATGTTTGTCATAATATAGCCATTGGCCTAGCATAGAAAAAGCTCTCAATACATGCAGCAGAGCACATGGAGTATTCTACTGGCTGTCAGAGGGTTGCAACAGATAACTGTTTATCCCTTACGCCACCAAGGTCCCTTAGAGGAAATTCAAGATCATGTATGTATTGATATGCCTTTGACCCTTTGTGGTAACAGACTTAGTTTCAAACTCTTACAAAGGTGTAGGAATCAGGTTTTGTACAGCCTGGCCCAGGTGATAAATACTGTTTGTCATTAAAAATAAACAAAAGAGCTTGTGGAACATTAACCCTTTCACTAACAGGGGTGATAAATGGGTTATTCCTCTAGATAAAAGATCATTACATTATCAATAAGAGAAGGCATGAGAATTTTTAAAGAACTATGAACAAGCAATATTTTGTTTGTCTTAACACCAAATTCACAGATACATGGGAGACAGTAAGGATACTGTAATTAATACTGAATCTTGCTTACTGAAGAAGTGCCAGAAGTAAAGGAATTCCACCAAGAACTCTGATGTCATTGCTTGAGTCACTATCTTCAGCCAGTTGTACAATAATCCATACCTTACAATAAGTAAACCAAAAACAATAGCATAAGATACATGTAAGTGCAATGTGACAATGCACATGTCACTGAAAGTAAAAATTAGTGGAATCATCAATGGACTGGCCTCTATATACTAACCACGTTCCACAGAAGCTTGAGATTTTCACAATGTAGCAAGCTGAAGAAAACATGAAAACACTGTTGATAGACTGTAAAGTTGTACATTGTGCATGATTATGTTGAGATAATCTGGTTCTTCAGACAAGAACATCACCTCTACTATTAAACAACCTCCATTTTTGTCTGCCCTCACAGGATAGGTAATCAACTCTGTCTGTTTTAACAGCTTGAATATACAGTTTAGGGGTGGGCTGAAGCTTGAGTCCGTTCTAAAAACTATCCAGGTTCATGTGGACAAAGCCTAAAGAAGCCTTCCCAATGTTTCTTTTGATGATACACAACAAACATGTACTTCTAGAAGATAATTGTTTTAAAGATTGAACTCCAACTTGATGAAGGGTAACACACTTAAAAGGAAGCATCTCTCACCTCAGACAAATTGGGATTCCATCAAAGACCTTAACCTGCTCTCTGATACTGCTGTCAGCACACAGTATTCTCAGAAGACCAGCTGCCAGACTAATACAAAAATTGATGCGAAAGAAAATATAAGAGTTGTGGAATCCAATGTTCATCAAAATAACACATAGGGCAAATAAGAAAGCATAGATAAGTAAATAAGAGTCCAACCTTAACAAGGAAACACTTAAAAAAAATAAATAAATAAATCATATGACCAAAAGACCTATCATAAGACTGAAAATAGACATATTAGGAATGTCAAGAGGGATTGAAAACCCTCTTATCACATACACATAACTTACGTTTTAGAAAGGATGTCATATTCCTGTAATATTCTTAATAGAATCTCTGTGCAATTCAATTCACCAATCAGAGCTCGTGGTCTCTCACTATTTACAAAATACAAAAACAAAAAAAAAATGTAACTGTGGAAACTGAGGATACCATGTAACAAAGCATAACACAACATTGATGGTCATGCATCACTGTCTGACATTACTAGTCAGAGCAACTTGCCTCCTTGCACAATTTTGAACTTTAAAGTTTGTACATGTGTAATATGGTCATGAATGATGCATCAAATAAATAAAAGGTTTAACAAGCCTAATTGCATTATTTCATAGCTACATGAACAGCATATAAAATATGTTAAACTGATCTCTACATAAAGCTTACCTTTGAGCCAAACCAATCAGGGCGTACAAGGAACAATGAAGAACCATCACATCACTAGCAGATAACAGAAGAACAAGAGCCTGGAAATACAAGGTAGAGCATGTACATGTCATTTGGGTACAACACATGTTACACATACTAACTCAATGTGCATGTATGTACCTTTTTGACACTATCATGTTCATAAATAAAAATGATGAGACACCTCTGATGGAGGTAGGAGTAATGTGGAAAGGTGAACCCATCGGTGCCCTGGACAAAGCAAAAGGCAAAGGTGAATTTGCAAGCAGTTCTAGGGGGCAAGCATGGATTGAAGAGAGTCCTCTATTAGATTCCTCTGCAATTTGCTGTCTCTTTTGTTTGCCATAACTTTCCTTTTTGCGTGTACTAAACTGATGGCTGTTGCCAGACTTGAAAAATACTCTTGTAGAGTATTACATACACATGTACCTTATGAGTACAACATGCCACAAGCCACTCCCTCTGCTTAACATCTGCAGCAAGTTTCTGACAAATGTCTGAGAAAAAAAGATATCACATAAGCATAAAAAGACTCATTAGCTTTGATGCAAGAGCATATCCCAGTTTCTCCAGCATGAGGTGACTACAGGAACATGTACTTGAAGGAAATGCAACTCCCCCTGGATGTGATACTAGTTCCACTCCACATTCCCTCAGCATTTTTTCAGGGTTCTCAGACCATTTGCCAGTACCAGTTTTTACTCCCGGTGCACGGAGGCACATCTACACCACACACATCAAGACTTAAAACACGATGACAAACAAGAACCAAAGCCATATCAGTACAGAGAAATTATCACTAAATGTTCATGGTAAGATCCTTACTTGTCATTTCTTTCAGAATGTCAACAGTAAATGGCTCTTCTCCATTCTCAAGATAACTTTCAGTCAATAGTTGTAGCCTCTGATGACAAACAGGAGAGAAATTATCATTTGTGTCCAAAAAACTCCAGACAATTGGATCTAGAACAACATTCCAACAAAACTTCACAGAAAGATATTTCATCAAGTACACAATAGAGAAGGAGAACACTACAGTGAGTACATGATATATTCCATAATAATGACAGACCAATCTAAGTCTGTTAATAATGAGAGGCTGAATTTTTTTTCCAGTAAACTAGTCACATTTTTTCCCAGTCATTCTTCACGTAAATATACATATAAGCTTGTACAGTTTGTCCATCTTCTGCGACCCAAGTTCCTTTCCTTGTGCATAATCAGTAACTGCCAACCTAATATCCAAGAAAATGGTGGATTTTTCTCTTCAAACTGGTTTTGATAACAGGCCAGCCTATTGTATGATTGAGCATACAACTGTATGCTCTAATTTTTTTCAAATGGCTGCAGTCTATCACCCTCCTGGAACAAGTTATACAGTGAAATACTAAGAGGTCACCCTTGGTTTATATTCAGAAATAAATCAACTAATATTATAATTGTGTTGCTGTTGGTAAATTATACTTGTTGAGTTCATATAAGCACTAAAAACAAACAAACCTCTGCAAGGACTTTCACACCACCTAGATTGAAAAATTCAACCTGCAAAAAGGGAAAATTATTAATTCCCAATTCATAAAAAAACATTCATATTTTATCATTGCATTTTTTTTACATCATGAATAAAAAAAACTAGGGCACTGTTCTTGTAAATATGTACATGTGCAGTAAGTTTAAGTCTGGTAGTAGCTAAGACCTCACCACCCTGAGCACAACCTACATTAACTGACCATTAGGCCTTGGTATCCCCCCACATAACAGGTCGAAATAAAACTCAAGTATGAACCCTGAAAGGTAAGACCTCACAACCAAAACCTAATCAAAACATGAGACATGAAAATCCTTAAAAAATTCCAAATTCTGCAGCTTAAAACTCCAAAGTTTATTATTAGACTTTGTTAAAAGACAAAGCATGAAATTCCAAATGTAGAGCCCCTAACTTGAGACCACAATTTGTTTTAAGGTTCAACAATACTGGTGCTTTGTTCAAAGGCTTCCAACGTACAACACAAAAAACCAGACCTAAGACACCAATTGTTTTTTTGGTTTTATTTTAAGTTTGACCATGCATTAAATCTTTGTTCAGTTGTAATTACCTGAAATGTGTGGTCCCTCATGAGCATTCTGAGGCATATTAGCACTCTCAGAATATTTTCTGGAGGAACTCGTTCAATCCACTCCCTAATTGAGACAGAAAAAAAAAAAGACAAATTAAAACAACAAATTCTGTAATCAGCTAATTATTTGCATGCCTAGTAATGGATTGCAAAAAAATAATATCTAAAAATAGACTGATGTCAAATAAAAACATTTCCTTGTAAGTTAATTTTCTAACAACTCTTCATAAATTGTCCCTTCAATCTTGTGAAGACTGCAAGTTTAAATCTGTCCCACTTGTCTTTCATTTTATACAAGTATGATGCTAAATATAGACCATAAGCCCCTTTAATAAATGGTGTACCTAACTGCTATTCTCTAGGACTTGTAAATTCCATGTAATTTAGCCTTTAAAATTAGCCTTTTTGGCCTCGACAACATGTTTGAAAAACACAATAATTTTCATGCTAATGTGAGGCCAGGAAGGTTGATTTGCATATGCATTAAAGACTAATAATCATGCCCACCATTTTGAAAAAGGTCTATACTGTTCACTGTAACACTGATACTCACAGGTAGCAAACTCGCTGCTTTACAAGGGCTGTGAAAATCTAAATAGAAAGACCACAAACATGTCATGTTTGTCCTCAATAAGAAATTGTTTTTTTGCAAAAACTATCCTCACATAGATGAAAACCACCATTTAGCAACGTATAAAAATCCTTTACACTTGCCACTTTTTGAGTAAACAGAAGTCATGGGGTTTTTACATAATTCTTGATGCCCCCATGATATCCTCAAATGCCAGAATATAATCAAAGGCATTCCCAACATTTGCAAGGAAATACCCATGAGTTCCAACAACACCTCTTTTCAAACACACTACCATCTAAGACTGTACCAGGAGGCACAGTACCTTCATTTTCATTTCTCTTCATTTGTCAATTAGATCTAATATTATACTGACAACCAATCTGGCATGCAAAAGCTGCCTTGAGATTGCCAGTTATATCTCTGAATAGGATACTCATGTCCAAAGTGAAAGAGTGGGTGGGTTTATATCATATATAAACCAGATAACTGCATGCTATACATAGAAATGTATCATACTTATAACAGTGCTGTAAGCTATAGATAACACTCTTCTATTGAGCTCCAAGTTCTTAACTGACCTGGCTGAAGTAACTGCTGAGGGCATGTGAACTGAAATTCCTGACTCCCTGGTACCTGGAGCTGTTGATTAAATGGAGAATCTTGTCACAAAAAGATATAAATTTTCTTGCATACAACTGTAAATTATCAGCAGCAAGTTTTACCAAAAGCAGGAACACTGCCTGCATTCACAAGCACACCAAAAGAGAACCACAACATTACCAGTAACATTTTTATTTAAAAGAGTGGCTTAGTAAAGATAAGATTATATAGATGGTATTACTAAGTAACTAACATTAAATACCTTAATATCATTAGTAAGCCTTTGATTTTGTTCCCAACCAAGTCTTAAACATCTATAGTTAAGTTTGTTTCACAAAACACATGTTTTATAACATTTGACTGTCACAAGCATGAATTCCGCTTTTTCTTGTTTTAATTCATGTCATTCTTGAATAATTTCATTTCAGATCAAATGATGCATTACTGTGAGTAACAGAACTGCGTATTATTCTTTTGTTTGGATTCTATTTTTAACTAATTGCAAGGTAAGAATCATTAGCTGATAAGTGTTATCTATAAAAAAGCAGTAGAAATTTCAAACTATTTAGGTGGTAAATGTTTAGAATGAAGAGTCACTTGAAAATAAATGTCATTTGAAAGTCAAAAGTTGTTAAAGGCAAACCATAAATGCATTCCAAGTAAATACCAGAAAACTCAAATTTCAGAAGTCATTCAACCAAAAAAACCAATTTATATATAAAGGGGATATAAGTTCCTAAAGAAACTGAAGTGCTGCATCAGTGGGGGAGTATGGGATGATAATTTGGTTTTAACAACTGAGTTGATGATGTATGACCACTGCTCTGACAAAGAGCTAAGGCTTAAAAATTCACCTCAGAAACTCTTTATTGTGGCCAATTTACATTGTCAACTCAGTTGAAAAAACCAAGTTATCCCAATTTATATATACCTGAATTTCTCCAAAGCAAGAGCTTCAGTTGACTGGTGTTGATGGGGTAACACTCCATTTGCCTGCCCAGCCCATGGATTACCTGTGGTGTTCTGATTTTCATCTGGGATCCAAGAGATGGAAGGAAGCTTAAAAGTAAAGGGTCAAAATACAAGTTCAATAAGTTCCAATGAGAGGCCTGAAATGAGAACTTTTCCTATTGGGCATCTCAAAATTGAAGGCAAGCTATGTGGGCTATCACCAAATTTAAACTATCAAGTTCGTTCCACTCCTTTATTCTCCAAACTAGGAATTTTACATACTCTCCAAATCAATCCATTTGAAATCACCAAATTCATGCTTTATTACTTCTTAATCTTTTTGTAACAAAATAGCCAAATTCACTGCTATGGTTCCAGAGCAGCCAGCAATTATCAAACCCACTTTTGTTGTACAAATCTCTAGCAATTTACAATTCTCTACCAAGGTTCTAAAATTGTGAACTCTCTTCCCGTTTCAGTCACTCAATCGTCAAATCTTCTTAGCTTTAAGACAAAAATGCCAGAGTTTTGCTTAAATAATCACTGAAATGGCCAAGCCACATATTTGCAGCATATATTCTTTTTTAGATAGGTTATGAGTGAGGTGTCCTCTCCCATAGGCCCAGTGGCTTCCTGGGTCACCTCACCTCCTGCAAACTATAATGCTGGGGAAAGTTTTTTAGTAATATTAAAATGGCAAATAAATGATGATGATGATGATGATGATGATGAAGTTTGTACCACATTTCTTAAAATAAACCTTCAATTACTTATCCAAAATTTTGATCAAAATAGGGGGCACTTAATCAATAGAAAAGGTAGTGTAATAGTTGGAGAATGATTTTTTGTTTAAGGAAATATAGTATGTACAACATTATATACCTGTTGTTTGCTGGCTGGGGTGTTTAGCAGGTCTAACAATCTGGATAAATCTTTTTCTTCATTCTCCCTGAAATGAAAAGAGAGACAAAGATTTATTATTTTTTTTGTTTAAGTTATCAACTAGATACCTTATAGCATAGCCGCTAGATCTCAATTTTTACATTAAGAAGCAAAATAAAACTCTCACTCTGCTGAAAGACATTTGACGTAATGTACTTGACATTTCTTGCAAAAACAAGAGTGCCAAGAAGGGGTTTTACATTTATCTGGGTTACTACTCATCTTACAGACACAATTCTTATGGTAGACTCTAGCTGCAGATTTCTTTTCTTGCAAACATCAGAAAATCTACGCATTGGTTAGAAGTGTCTTTCAAGGGTGATTATCTTTTTGATCCTACAAAAGTGTCTTTCTAGGGTACACATCACTTGCTAATCTTATGCATGATGAAGGTACTCATGCACAAAATTAAAAAAAAACTTAGTCTATAGTAACATATATGTACAGGGCCCAGTTGTTCAAAGGCCGATTAGCACCAACCCAGGGTCAAATTTTAATCCAGATCTCTATATTTCTCTGTTCAAATAACTATTTGGGAAAATTTTCCCAGTTCATTTTAGTGTATTCAATCATCAAATTGTAGAAAAATGGGATTAATCCAAAGTTTCCTAACCTTTAAGCTCCAGGTAAAAATTTGAAGTATGTTTATCATACCGAATATCAATCCACCCGTGAAGTTAGGGGCTAAACTTTAATGCTTTTATGTAAAAGGGTTTTAAAGGCATCTTTCAAGATTGCCATTTATTTATTTTGAGAGCAAAACATAGACTTCTTAGGGATGTGTTTATATTTCAGTTGGAGTCACAAAAGCTACCAGGAGGTTCTAAAGTTATTGTATCTCCATGATTTCCTTCAACGGAAAGAGATTCAAGTACTGTTGTGCTGAATTGTGGATGTGTCGGAAATTAACGAAGGAAGAACAAAGTTCAATCACATCAACCCCTTGCAGCTTTCCCACAGAGAAATATTTATAACATCTTTGTCAGTTTTCTTAAAAAACCCGACCACATACGAAGAATTAAAATTCACGAATCTCGTCAGCGAATTTGCGTCCTATTTAAATACGAAGAGAAAAGATTTTGCGGTTACACACCAAATGATTCTATTTGGTATTCAAGTTAAATTCACTGTTCCCCGGTTATTATTCTCAGATACAGTCTATTTACACAATACTTCATAACTAAAATAAAATTGTTTGAAATACTCCGACAAACAGAAAAAAAAGGACGCTCTAAGCTTTCATCAGAAGAGCCCCGACAGATCGATATGATTGAAAACCACTTAACGAAGTATATAGAAAAACTTTGCCTAATGGATACCTGAGGTACCTAGCTGATACATCCAATATATCAAAATATTATTTTGTAAGTCTACGTTTTCGTATTCAGGAAGAGGATTACCCATAATATTGCGAACAGGTTTTTTTTTTCATGCAGAAACACATTACACAGTAATTCTCACTTAAATGCTTCTCGAGGCGCTTTTGGGAAATAAAAGCAAATTAGCGCCAATCAAGCGCAAACGAAAACGACAACTGGCACTACACGTTCGCAAAATTAGTAAATACCCCTGGGCAAAATAAGATGTGATTAATAATGTTGTAGTTTACATAATAGTCTTTTCCTTGACAACTCCTGAATAAAAACGACTTCCTTCTCAAATTTTCAAAATGACACAGATATGGTCAAGTAAACCGTATGAAAACCGTAAACATTCCGGCAAGTAGCGAGTTTGACATGAACCGAAAAACCCATGTACTTGAAATCGAGGTAAAAATTTTTTGAAGCGAGTTTGGACAACTTACCTATTCACTGTAGATGTCTGTGCCTTGTCTCTCTTCTCCTCCACAGGCATTTTGAGTTTAGCAGAGTCCTGGGGTTTCTTTTGCCATGGTCACGAAACCAAAAACCTGTTGATGTTATAATCATACACAAAATATGATCGCTCTACGGAAGGCTTCCACTTGCTCGACAACATAAACATTCAAATTACTAGTCTTTATAAAGAACAACATTTCAAAATTTCTGCGATGATCATGCGTAGATTATCCACCGTTAGGAAACTGGGAAATTCAGCAAACTTTCCTAATTAAATTTTTATCCGACTGGCTAAACAAACGGACCAAAGACACGTCGACACAGCTATCATAAGACTTACTCTATTACCTCTCGCGACCAAACTCTAACTAAGATCTTGTTTCGCCGAAAGATCGCAAGGAATTTGAAAAGCTCACTAGAATTTAAAGACTCACCGAATATACAGGTACGTGAGTTGAGTACAGCTATGATAAACTCGCCGTTCTACGGGTATTGTACAAAAACTTTCAACTCGATTCGTCGAAAGGAAATACGTCAAAATCGACAGGAAATGACCTCGTAGGTCGATTTTTTGTCTGTTGTTAGCCAAATGCAAACGATTTCACCTCTAAGTATACACTGCAGTGACCCTTTAAAGACGATCGTGCGTTTAATCTATGTTATGAAAGTTCTAAAAGTGTAGCTTCCCTGTGTTTAATATTCTTGCCTAATTGTTGTGGTTTAACTGAGCTTGCCGACCGATCGACGGATCGATTCACATTTCTGCGTCATATCAAAATTTTAAGTTGCTATCAAGCGTAAAACCAACACTATATCTGAGAAATTAATTCTTTGCATCAAAACAGGTCGTATAATCAAAAGGATTTAAACAACATTCGGAAGAGAAAATTGATTTGTGAAGCAGAATGAAACCATGGTCATCCGCAAAAGTTTCCACAAATGATCTCCAAATTAACCTGTAATGGTAAAGATAAAAATGCATCTTTAAACCAGCAAAACTAACCACAACTTTAGCGACCGCATCTACCGATTGCCTCCTAGGCCTGGCAGCGTAAAAATACGCCAGACAACAGGGATTTCAGTCGGCATTTTCCATCATCAAGCGACTTCGGGTTCGCTCCGTAAAATTTGCTCGTGAAATTAGCAAAGCAACGTCAATTTCTTAATAAAAATATTGTCACAATTTGACCAATCAAACAACGGTAAGGGACAATGGCGCGTAATCTCAACCAATCAGAATTACACCTTGTGAAGTTGATAATTAAACATAGCCACTTTCTTGAGCAGAAAAATAATTAAGCTATGAAGAGTGGAGGGTGCATATTGATTTTTCTCTAAAAATACGCACTACCGTACTTCAAAAAGATTACGTCAGTATTGATCTTGTCCGATTGACTAGTGTCGTGGGAAAAAGCGAAAAAAGAAATCAATATTTCATCAGCAAAGGGGGATTTTTCAGAAATTAAAAAAAATGAATTGTAAGAAATTGGTCGCATAACAAGGTTGAAATTAAGTTGAAGTTCAGTATGAAAACTTAGCACTACCTGTCCATCATCAACATCACCGAATCTCAAATACGTCTACAAAAATATCTAGCGAGAGAACAACTATCAAAATGGTACAACCAGAAATTCACAAGCATCTTTAACATCAAACTTTTCAAGAAATTCTTATTTCATCTTAACGTCTATTTTTAATATTATAAGCATCTGAAGCAGACGCTAGTCTCGATCGAAGTTGTTCTTTTTTAGTATGTCACGCAACTCTCCATGAGCGTTGCGTGACCTATGATGCAACTTTCATGCCACAATTATGGCTTGAATGATCGACTCGAATAGGTTCATGTTCAAAATATAGAAACTCAATACAAAACCCAGTCTTATTTCACCTTGCCATGAGGGCAAAACAAGCAAACAAACAAACAAACATAAAGCAGAGCTCATCCTTGAATCTCCTTTCTAAGGGAAATAGAAGGAACAGCTCACACTGTACTGCGGTACCCATGAAATAGTTATCACAGAGAAAAAAAAATTATTTCAGGATTAATTGTTAAAGGCATCAAAAGATTCCAAATAGTAACCTAACCCTTCGAAAACTGCCTTTAATGTGCCAAAAATTCGACAATGAAAGGCCCCATTTTGGAAAACATCTAAGTGTGACCCGTTCACACACGCGTGACGTAATGACGTACCACGAGGAGCTAATTAGCTCTCAGAATTCTCTCAGAATTCAACTCGAACAACGGGAAACAAAACAGTTAATAGACGAAAAAACTTCCCTACTTCCATTAAATTGCGCGCTCTTGAATTGATACAGTTTTGCTGAAGCCCCTTTTGTGAGATGAAAGCTGTTAGCTCCTGTAAGGCAACAATCAAAATGGCGCCATGCAAAGTGAAAACAACTTTATTGCACGTTATCAAGACTGTCAGTTGCCATACATTTCGTTTGTAGTTTTGGAAAACTTAATTACCACCGCTCTTCATTCTCAACACATAAGATGAGTCACGCAACGTGTCCGTAGTGTCCTAAGTTCAAAGTTACATCACGAATCACGGGCATTGCAATCATAGCACCCAAGCAATTGGAACGGAGAGAATTTTCTGCTGTTAATGTCTCACTAGTAGTTAATTTTTGGAAAAGAAAAATGGAATAGTAACTAATAAAACTGAATCAGATGTTGATAAAGTGTGTTCGATACATGTTTAAGTTCTTCGAAGATTTGAAAATAGTTTTGAAATTCCAAGTTTAGAATGATCATTTTTTACTGTTTACGTCATCAAAAGGTGATCACATACCACTCATTTTATGGTTTCTGAATCCTAGAAAGCCATCCCATCGTCCCTTGTATACGTTTGGCTAAGTCGATATGGAAGAAATGGAATCAAACAATTTATTCTCAAGGAAATCAATTTCTCCTTCTGAATTGCTGAGATGATTGTAAATATGTGTGCTGGTGGAATCGTCATCGTCATCGTCATCGTCATCGTCACCGGTGCGTCGTGCCTCCGCTGACATGACATCCTGCTGATGTTCTTATAATCCGTCTTCATTTCTCGCCTTCACGACTTCGTGGGTCTGTACTAGGGTGCTTCCCAGCCTCTTAAAGGTTCCATTCTCAAGTCTTGTGAAGTAGTATTGTGAGTCCTTTTACAGCTCAATTCTGTCACTTTTTACTATTCAATGGCAAAAAGTACTTTTTGAAAATGAAACGGAAAAAGATTGACTTGAAAGATGTCACTTTCACAGCCACTAGACGGATCGAGGCACCATTGATTTCAACGCACCTGTACAGGGAAACTAAAACTCAGGAATTTAAGGTGAGATTCACGAGATTAATAATCAAATCTAATTAAATTGTTTCTGATATATATTTATTAGTATCATCTTGTTGAATGATGTCCCATTTCATGAATACAGTGAATTGAAAGTGCAATTTTGATTTTCTGTTCTTCTGGGTGTTCCTCACGACGAATTCTACTTCTCATACAACATTGACATGTTTTGAGACTCGACAATGCACACATGGCATTAATCTCCATTTGGTCCATATTGCTGTGAAAAATAATTATAGCAATTATAAAAAGAAACTTTCCAAGAAAAAGATAAAAGAGGCAGACATAACCAAAGGGTAGACAGCAAGCAGGCTCTCATGGGTGCAGCGACAGGAAAGGCGCGGCATGCGGGTTTTGAGCCGGTGGGCGATGTGAGCATGCAAGATGTTTGCAGAGGTCCCAGAAGGCTTGAACATAAAAATCCTTTCGTTGGCGTCTATAACACCGAACTTGTCTTCTGTGACAATTAACGCGTCAGGTTTAAAAAAGAAAACACGGTAAAATATGAGATAAGGTCTGGTCCTTTACTGATAATAATGATAATAAAAAATGATAATAATAATGGCAATGACAATAACAACGACGATGATAATAATAATGATGATAACGGCCTCTATTCATGGTTTTAAACCGACGTTAAAAACCTACATGATACTTTTTGAATAGAATTAAAAGCAGCTCAAACACGGGGGAATACCAAATATAATCTAAAATCAACAAGACCTCTATCTACGAGGCATTACCTAGAGATTTCAGTGTTTACAGAGCACTTGATGAGGATGCGACCTACCGCATATGGCTCGTCTATTTCTCGGGTAGAAAAGTTGGTTCAGAGACTGGATCGGGAGATAACATTGCAGACCTATGTGTGATTTACATGTGCTGAATCATATAATTTTGTGGCAAACGGTTTCTACTTATCTCTAGAACAGAGACTTTGTCTCCCTGTCAACATCAATTTTCCTATTTCCGTCTAAAAATGTTTATTATTTCTGATGTTAATTTGCTTGTAAATTCCATAACAAAAAAGGAAATGACGTCACCAGCGTAAACAAAAAGGTTGTGTACAAATGTTACACTTTGAACTGATAAGCCGTAAAACATTTGTCACAGGTCTAAACAAGCGTGTTCAATGCGTTCCAAAGCTGAGGTGTTACAAGTTTCTTTTGAGGTAATTGATATAAGGTGGTTGAACCAAAAGCTACGTAAGTAACATCTCACATCCTCATCTCCTATCTTGTCTTGAAGTTGTCTTTACATTCTTTACTCAGTAGCTTGTGGCATGTATGATTGGAGACAATTTAAGAGCTGGCGGGCGAAAAAAGGCAGAATTTTGGGTGGTGAAATGCCTTTGCCTGAGCTAGGCTTCTCTCGACAATGGCCTAGTGTTTTACGCCCGTTATTTTTCACGCCTCCCCTGCCCGAGAGCTACGATCTAGCTTACGACTTTGTTACATGAATGTACGCCTGTTATCAACGTCCAGGATAGATATTGAATCGGATCTCTTTACCTTTGGAGCTTACGCATTAGGTAACGATACAAATCTGACAAAATTATCAATTACGTAAAGAGGGCTCGAACTGCTAGTGAGGTTTAATATCGAGGTTCTTTTTGTTGGAGCGATTCAATTCAGAGTTTCCCTTTCTCAAATGGCGCGATAACACGCAAGGTCGCGTGAACATTGTTAGTATGCATAGAAGTGTTTTGGTTTCAAATGAATTTTGACCTCGCTTGCTTTTTCGTGAGATATCGCTTTCTCTGAGTAAATAGATGATAAACACCTTGATTACTTTGACAAATCAGAACGTTTACTCAGTCCAGTTAAGTGTTCATGTCTTGTCTACTTTTTGAGCAAATACCTTGGAATCATTGTATTTAAGGAAAAAATGTGGTTTTAATTAGGGAAATTTAATTTCTATTGTTATTTTTTTATAGGAAATAGATATCCCGATGTTTTGAAATAATTCTCTTCGCCTTTATACTCGGTAAACCTCAACGAAAAACTGAAAAGTAGAGTTGTAAACTGAAGCAATTTTGCTGATGTACGCCTGTGTTGTGTTCAAATTCTACGATGTCTAGAATTTATGCAAACGTGCACAACACTGTTTAAGGGTTTTGATTAAAAAATAGCAAGCAGTACCAAAAATAGGTATGATAATTGAAAATAACCAAATTAGATGAATCGGATTTGCCATAGGCGTAGAACAAGCAAACATAGTTTTTTTTCCTGGTTTGAACTCGATTAAAATTTACCGGAAAAATGTTCTGTGCATGTTGATGATAAACATGAACATGCAATGCGAGGTTCAGGAAAAGCTAAACTTGAACAGGAACCGTAAAATTATTTTGCGAGTTAGGAACTGAGAATTAAAATTAAAATGAACAATGAGATAATTCCCTGAAATAATTTAAAATGATTGATTAAATAATCCTCTGAACGAGTGAACTAAATAAGTATTAACTTTTGCTTGCGTGGAAAATTTCAAGGCTACAACGTGGATGTGATGAGAAGGCGGGAGGCTACCGAATAAAGTACAAATTTAATCAGGAAATTCGTGTTTGATGAGTAGTTGGAGAAATGGATGATCAATCACGATAAAAAATATTGTGTTACTTTCTTCATGAAACGAGCTTAAACAACTTAGATATGGAAGATGTTTGTCATTTATGGTGTAGATACGGCTCAAACCTTCTTTCCTGAGAATAAGTCAATATTCAAAAGGGTGCCAAGTTTTTGACATTTCCGTTTCAAACCGCAGACACTAGTGGATTGATTCTATTGTATTAACTTAGACTGTTAGGGTGTCCTCCTGATTTCTCGATGTCTTGAAATTCCTTCAAACAATGGAATGCATCAGTAAAAGAAATAGAGTGAAGCAGTGCCTCTTTGTCCCTCCGTATCCGTTCAATAGATTTTTAAAGGATGGTGTATGTATACCGTTGGAGTATAATACGCACCAGCACGCCTATCCTGGCTATGTGAAATGATTTTACAAAATAATAGAGGGTAGATCGTAAGTCAGTTACTTGCTGCACATCAGAAAAATTTGATTGGGGTTGCCAAACGGTAACCGTGACAGATACACGCGGAGCCGCGCGAACGACTTGTCTAGCGTGTCTATTTCCTCGCGCTTTACGATCACTTCAAGAAACGGTGTTAGTACTTGCAAATTTCTAAGCTAACAGAGATGTGAGATATACGAAGATGAACTTATTCTAGAGAGCGGCTGGAGTTTCTATGTTACTTTTAAAATGAAATTAATTACGATTTGGAGTCCCTTGTTTTTGTCACAAAGAATTCGTTTTCAACGAAAAGGTTCACCACATTCTTCTTTCATTAGCTGTAATTACAAAAAAAATATGCCTTTCTCATCGATGAAATTTAACCCAACCGAATTATAATGAATTCTGAGTTACCTACATCAAATATTATCATAATTATAAAGTTTGCGTGTCTTTTCGTTTGTT